GCTGCTGATTACCGTTCTTCACTGTCCTTTGTAATAAACTGGTAGTCTACTGAGGAACCTGGCTTCCTGGGTCCTGTGAGTTGCTCCAGCAAATTAATTGGACCCATGGAGGGGGTTGTGGGAAGCTATGATTTATAGCCAGTCGGTCAGAAGCACAGGTGACAACCTGGACTTGTGATTGGCATCTGAAGTGAAGGCCAGTCTTATGGACTGAGCCCTTAACCTGAGGAATCTGGTCCTATCCCCGAGTAGATGGTGTCAGAATTGAGTTGAATTGTTGCACACCTGACTGGTGTGAGTGAATTGCTTGACGGTGTGGGGAGAACAACCACGCACTGGAATTGGAATCATTAATACACATTGTCCCAGCTCCACTCACTAAAATGTGCAACCTTTCTCCAACTCTCTGCAGTCCCGGGTTGCAGATAAGTTTCCAGCCTGTTTATGCATCACTATGTGGTATGGTTCTGTTTTTCCCTTTCCTGCCACTAGTATCACATGGTCTGAAATTCTGTAGCATTGTAAACATTCTTGCTATATAGTGGGAAAGCTCACAATTCGTCCTTTCTTCAGAGTGTTTAATATTTCTTGGACTTTGCAGGTGAATACATTTCTTAGGAAAAGTTCATAAAGTGGGGCAGGGCATATTTTGGTCGACAGGCCATTGACTCTATATACTACGTGGGGGAAAGTTGACATCTTTAATACTGAGTTTGCCAATGCGTGAACATGTGATATTTTTCAATTGAATTACTTTTTTAAAAGTTGCCTAACTTTCTGTATAAAGATCTTGTCCATTTTTGCTAGAATTAATTCCTCAAACAATTACTTCATAGCTTTCAAAGCTACTGTGAATGCTATCTTGAAATAAACATTTTTATTTTTATTTTTTCTGTTGCTGGCTGGTACATTAAAATACAACTGCATTTAATAGTTTTGTATTTAGCAAATGCCACCTTTTCTTGTTAATTCCAACAACTTATCTGTAGATTCATTAAGATTTTCCGTGTACTGTAGCCTATCACCTGCTTTTAATGAC